CAATATGAGCCCAATCCATTTCGGAGCAGTCAGGAGTTGGTCCCATCCCCAAATCCAGAGTCCCAGGAACCATCTCGCGCAGTCCCATCAGGTCTGCCCAATGCCGATCCGTCAAGTTCTCAGCCGAAATCTGTCGAAGTCGTAAGTGCTGAAGCTGGAACAGAGCATCCATCGGTCTTGAAAAAGAAGAATCGGGACAAGCTGTCCTTGGATGAGCACCGCCGCCAAGGCCATTTTCCATTTCATCCAGATTGCCTCGCATGTGTGTCAGCCAAGTCGACGCACCAGCATCGTCGTCGGGGTAATAAGAACTCTAGTGAGATCTGTGCCGATTTCTTTTTCTTGAAGAATGTCCCACCAAATTCAAAAGAGCAGTGGAAATTTTTGATCATGGTCGATGTTCACACAGGTATGAAAGCATGTGTTCCAGTGTTGCCCAATGTCATCAACACACGAACATGGATCAAGAGTTGGATGAATGAATTTGGTTTCTCAGGTGGTGAGTCCCGGTATGCCCTGGAAGTGCTTACCGATGCCGAAGCGAGCGTCGCATCCTTGTTTAAGGGAGTTGATCTTGGACGTGACATTGTGTTCTTCAAAGCCTCGCCACAAAGCCACCAGACAGTGGGGCACGCCGAGGGAGCTATTCGTATCCTCAAGGATAGCTTTGCCGCACTCCGTCAAGATCTAAGGTCGTTTGGGGTCGATCTCAAGCTCGATAGTAGATCATGTCTGAATACCGTGTTGGCATACATTTGTATGTGCTACAACTTGCATTCGAGCTTCAAAGACACTAAGAGATCCCCAAAGACAATTTTGATCGGTCGTGACGTCGAAATGCAAACCAGTCTTTTCGGATCGTTGGTTCTTGCAGAAATCCCTCATAGCTTGGTAAACAAAGCAGTTTCCAGGTTTGAGAAATCATGTTATTTGAGGCCAGAGTTTGCCTCATTGGGACATCTCTGTGTTACTGTTCTCAACGGCGAAGAATGCATTTTCATCTCAAAGTCCATCAAATTCCTCACACCTTTAAGTTGGGATTGTAGCTTGGCTCCTTCATTTCTTGTTGAGATTTCACTACCACCAAAGCCGTCAAGGGAAAATGGGGGAGAAGCGCAACCGATTGATCTTGAGGCCGATCCATCTCGCGATGCACAACCTTCTCAAGCCAAGAGCAGGTCCATTTCAACCGGTGCCGAACGTCGTTTCGAGCCATCCATAGTTCATAAGAGCACTGAGTTCGATCAGATTAAGAATGTACCTGCCAGCTTCATCAATAAGTTTGGTAAGACTAAAGGTTGTGGCATTTGCGCCAACAGCAAAGGTTCCTTTCATGGCAAGGTGCATCACAAGGTATGCATTGATCGGTACGTCAAGTGGTTGAAGGAACAGGAGTTGAAAGGCATTCGTGATTTGCCATCCGCACAAGTGCAGCCAGTCGGTAGGACTTCAGATGCCGAGCATCCTGTTCGACTTACTGGCAAGCAGCCAAGACCTGATTCACTTCCAGAGCCATTGATTCCAGTTGCAACTCGTTTTGGACCTCCGTCTCGGTCCAAAGATCATGAAATGTTGGTTGAAGGGGGTGAAGGGGGTCATAATCAGGAGACTAAGTCAAACGAAGATTCTACCAAACCCGATTTTGTAATCCGTAAGGACGAAGATCTTCTTGGTATGGAGGAATATACGCCAAGTTGGTTGGACGGTTCGTCAAGTCCACGCGATGATTTCCACATTCCTGAGGTGCCTGACCTGTGGTGGACGTCGAAATGTTGGAAACTCAAGGTGATTCTGTGGATTTGTCAGCCTTAGCATCGTCAGCTGCACCAGACATGCCCGAGCAAGCCGTGTCAGACCCAATGCAAGTCGGTTCAATTTTAGGTTCGTTGATCACCGCTTTCGATCCTGCCTCCGAAGAACACATGCAGGACCGTCATATTGGTTTCATGAATAGTGTGTATCAACTCAAGGATCGACCAACTTATAAAGAAGAAGTTGAACTGTGTGGTACAAAGGTCATGCTCCATTTCCCAGGGTATGTAATCAGTGATGTTGATGGAACTCATTTGAGTTGCGATCAATCTTGGGAAGGAATGAAAGTTGAAGTGGGAAGCATGTCTTTGCAAGAGGTTGGCCGTGTCCTCAAGCAGAACGAAGCAACGCAGCTTTGTAAAGAATGGGATATTGTGCCAACCACCTGTCGTTGGGTCTCCACACAGAAAGATGCTGATAACGTTCGTATGCGTATGGTTGCTCGAGAGATCGCACGTGGACAGCTTCATGCCAAGGACTTGCAAATCTCATCTCCAACATTGTCGATCGAAAGCCTGAGACTCATGCTCTCAGAAGCCGCAGTCCAAGACCTCACGATCTTGGGTCTCGACGTAAGTGCAGCATTCATGGCAAGTCCCTTAGGCCGTAAACTTGGGAAGCGCATTCGTGTCATTCTCAAATTCCCTCCAAACATCACACATAAGGATGGATCCCCAGTTTTCTTGGAAGCATGGAAAGCCATCAACGGGCTTAGGTCCAGTGGCCGTGCTTGGGTCGATCACCTTTCAGCTTTGCTTCAGAGGCTCAACATTGTGCCATCATCAGTTGAGTCAACCGTGTTTGCCGGAGAGATTGATGGTAAGAACGGCAAAGCGTGGGTTCAGGTGGTCGCCTATGTCGATGACCTTTTGGTCTTCTCAGCTTCCAAGGAGCATGTCTATGCTGTGTATGATTTCTTGTCAAAGCACTTGAAGATCAAGAAATAACCGGGTCTATTCTTTCAAGCAAAGAAGGGGGTGGTAAGCTTCGTTTTCTTGGACGTAATATCGAGAGAAGGGCGAATGAATCTAAGATCACTTTGCACATCGATGAAAGCTATTTAGATTCTACCTTTGAAGTTTTCGGAATTGTTCGTGGAAGTGATTGCCCTCCAGATTTGAGACCAATCCTTGACAACGAAGAGAAGTGTGAGCCTCTGTCGACTGAAGCAGCATTGCGCTACAAAGCAGCTCTTGGAAAGCTTTCGTGGTTGTGTCAAAGTTTGATGTTTTTAGGCATTTACATCACTTTGCTGGCCACCGGGATGGCCAATCCCGAACATCGTCACGAATTGGCCCTCCGAGCTGTCCTCAAATGGTTGTTCAGCCAGAGAAGAATTGCTCAGCATTTTCCTAGTCCGGAGTCCACATTCGATGAGCAATCATCCAGGAACCTTGTGGTCTTCTGCGACGCATCCTGGGCACCCTTAAGATGCCTGAAGAGGCGCTCAATCACAGGAAGTGCAATTTTTTACAAAGGATCTTTGGTAAAAGGATTCTCCAGGGTCCAACAAGCCGTAGCACTTTCTAGTTGTGAATCTGAGCTGTCAGCATTGGCCGATGCATGTCAAGAGTCACTAGGAGTAAATAAGATCTCGAAGCATCTTTTCTTGGGTATCGATAATGATATGCGTGCAATCCATGAAAGTTTCTTCGGGTGCAATCAGGTGTTTCATCTTGCATCGTTCCTGTTTGCTGCCAAAGCCCAAGCTGATCCGACGGTGTCCCAAAGTGTTGAGCAACCCGATGCTATCATCGAAATGTATTGCGATTCTCAGGCTGCAATCCGGATACTCCAAGCCAGTGGGCTTCAGAGGCGATCAAGACACGTCGAATTGCGTGTTTATTTTTGTCAAGAGCTAGTCAAGCAAGGTAAGATTAAACTCAATTGGATCGATGCCGGAGGTCAAATTGCTGATGCATTGACCAAGACGCTAGGGGCAAAGCTCTTTCATCGATTCGTTGTTCTCATGGGGTATCTTGAAAGGAGTGAAATCTCCACTGAAGCATATGCACATGAGCTCATTCTCAGGTCTCAGATCCGTACCTCGCCCGCCAAGTCCAAGTCCATGAAGTCTCAACAGGTAGCATACTCGGATTTACTGCCGAGCAGTCATTCCGGAGTCCCTGCAAATGAACCAAAGGAAAATTCTGCCAGTTCTGTCCCTGATATGTTGCCGGGCAGCCCATCTAGTGTGTCAGAACCTGAGGCCATCCGAAGCTTGTTGATTGACGCCAGATCCATATCGCAAGTTCGGGCACCAAGATTCGAGAACATCTTCTTGGAGATTTGCTGTGACCGCAATAGCCAATTGAGCAACATAATTTTTAAGATGTGTCCTCACAACTGGTTGATCATCAGAATCACGGAGGATAGTCCTCTTGAGGTCCATCAGCCAGAAATCATCCAGCTGCTTTCGAGGCACAAAGGTTTCAGTTTTTCCCATTGTTCACTGCCGTGCACAGGAGGTAGTAATATTCAGAATCTGAATAAGAATGAATCCTTGAAGCAGCATCGTCATGACACATTCTTCCATTTGCTCAGTTTGTGCGAGAAGATTTGTGCAAGTTCGAGTCACTTTTCTTTTGAGTTGCCTAAGAGAAATAACTATTGGAAGAGTGAACAGCTTCACAAGTCATTGAAGGACATTGGAAGAAAGTTGTTCTGTGAATTCCCAAAGTTGTGTTCTTTCGATGTGCCAGTCTCCAAAGTTTTCCTGTGGGTTGGATCGCATCCCACAATTGTTCGTAAGTTCTCGAAACATGCAAAAGAATGCAGTTGTTCGTATCACCTCCCATTCAACTCAGTCGATTGGACATCTACCGGCCGCTATCCAGAAAATCTTTGCAAGGTCATTGCCAGTGGAGTGATCTCCATAAGCCGCGCCGAGCCATCAGCATCCGGAGGTGGATACATCATGTTTGAGCCAGGGTGGAATGACATTTTGTTCAGTGTGCCGAAACTCGTCAGTCACCCAATTGATAGCTCTAACTGAATCAGTAGCCATGCCGTGGGATTGTTTTGGTGAGTACACCCAAATTGTCTTGCAGCAGAAGCCAAATATATAGTGAGATTGTTTTGGTGAGTACACCCGAATTGTCTTGCAACAGAAGCCAAATATATAGATATATGAACCGATAAGTTTCCGCTCAAGCTTTAACGCAAAGCCTGATTTCTGTTCCCAGTGGATGTTGGCTGAGATCATGTTTCTCATGGTGCTATTGCAGGTGATGACGTTGTGCTGTGTTTTGACACGGCAAGATCGCAGCTCGAACAGGGCTGGACATCGTTCACCACGAACGCCAAGATCTCGTTCATCAAGCCGCCGTCGTGAGCGTAGCACTTCTCGAGATCAAAAAGATGATCAGGCCAAATCCAATATGTCTGAAGCACCATCCGCATCTTCATCAAGAGGTCGCCGCCGGAATCTTCCTCTATTGAGTTTGGAAGATGAGCCCCAGATCCATGAACGCCATTCGACAGCTGCCATGCCTAATGTGCCGAAGACAATGCCCGATGAGCTGCAGTCAAGGTACAATATGTACAAGGGAAGAAAGCTCTTAAGCGTCGAGTCTACCGGAAAGGTTCACCTTCCAAGCTGTGGTTCGTTGAGGCGTAGCACCAAGACCGAGGAGGTCTACATGTGCAGTGCATGTTTTGGCCGAGATCTTTTGAGCGTCAACAAATATGGCATGAAGATGGGCATTCAGAATCATGTCTGCCATGCCGTCAATGCAATGGATCAATGTGAGTGTCCACGCTGGGGCCCAATCCTTGAACGAGTTTGTTGCAAGGTTTGCATGCCTCCCTGTCAAGCTCCGTCAAAAGCATCTGGAGCCGGATCAGGATCAAATGAGCGATACTCTATGTAAAATTAGGATGGTACATGTAGACCAAATTAAGCTATCACCACGATTGCCAAAGCTTGGATAAATGATGAAAGAGTTCAATGCAACTTCATGACCAAGCCTTCAAAATCGTAAGTTCTAGACGTTGACATAAGGTATATGCCGTAAAATTCCATGACCGAATAAAGCAACGGCATTTGTGGTCAGCGTCCGTTCCTTTTTTTGTGTGTGACAGTTGATGGCCAATTTCAACTGAAAAGAAAGCAGTGCTTTGATGCAGTTCGCCTTCCGTCGTCCGCCAGCATTGCTTAGTATTCTAAATAATGCATAATGTTCTCAAGATTGTCCGTGCCAGGTGATGAAACGCCATCACTGTTCGGGCCAGAAGCCAAAGTGGTCAAGTGAACGCCTTCTTCGGTTGAGCTTTCAGCTTGATTTGTCAGTGAAATATTCTCAGAACTTTTCTTAGGTGTGACCATTCTGAGCGTGCCTGAGCTCCGGTCACGACTTTGATAGAGGCCTTCAATGAATCTCAGATAAGATGGAAACTTTAAATAATCTCCTATATGTGCAGTTATTTTTGACGTCAAGCATTTTGTTCGCAACTGTTCCTCAAATGACGGTCACAAAAGGGGGTGTGGAAAGTTGAAATCACTCGTGATCCAGTCATTTCCAGTTGTGACCGTGAAGGTTACTATGCAAGTTTTGGGAGTCTATGAGTTGAAGCTCTAGATATCCAGAAGGTCTCCAATGTGGCCATTGTCAACCTTCGTTGTGGATGGATTCCCAACCATGGTGCACGGATCAACCGATCCTATGCCTGCATTGGCTCAAGGCCGAGCCATTCGTCGTTCGAACGCATGACATGAGTCAGCGAGAAAAGGTGCGATGTGTGTTTGGGTTCGGGTCATGTCCCATGTTCCCTTTCATGCTTCATGTTAGGTTCCCCACATGTTCCAATCTGGTTCAGAAATTCCGCAATTACAGATGATTTCTGCTGGGAAGTCCTCCCTCCTGGTTAACATGGCGTTGTGACTCCCTTCTTTTAAAACACGTGACAGGGATCGTGTCACAGTCGAAAAAGCCTCCTATAGTGCGGGGTGAGGCCCAAGGAGCAGAATGAACGATAATGAACGAAATGACGTCGTGGGAGTCCAAGACTTTGAACTTCTCCTTGGTGGAGGCCATCGCTTCTAGGTTGGAGGCCATTGTAATTAGAAACAAAAAACATGAAAAGAAGAACGGAGATCCAATACCAGGGCCCCCTAAGGGGTGTCCAATTATAGCTCTTTAGAGGTGATTCGGGATGTTCATTAACCACCCCAAACCGGGGGCCCTGGTACATGTTGAAATATGTTGAAATGCTCTTTACGCAGGGCCAAAGGAGGCTGAAAGGAGGACATTTTGGGGTGCCCCTGTCACATCCACTCACTGGATGGGACGACCTATAGTGACCTACACCCCCTTGGTAACTCTGGGTCGACTCGAGCAGGGAAGATCTCTTGCTTCGGTGCCGCATGGTCTTTGGTTTATGTAGAGTTGAGATGTTCGGCGAAGCATGAGACATACCCTGTGACACATGCTACTACATGTACGATCCTGAAAGTAATTGACTATGAATAGGGTAATGTCCAATGTTCTGTAGGGTATTTTGATGTATTTTGAAGGGTTCGGCTATACTCAAGAAACAATTGATAGTGCTCATTGAACTGCAGAAAACACTGCGAGGATGGACTTCATTGTTCTTTTTTGATTTTCCAACTATACCGCTTCCCTGGTTTGGCTTCGAAAAATGGCTGATGGTTCATGTCCCGAACTGGGTTGAATCCCCTACATGTGGGGAATATGTGTCATGTCCCACCTACGGGTGACACGCCGCCCTCCCACTCGTGCACCGCTCGCACGGTTCCTACCTACCTCTTAAGGCAAAAGGCGGAGCTGGAGCTCGTGGCTCGGACTGGTTCGAGCGAGGGCGGTGGAGCTCGTGGCCCGTGAAAGGCCACGAAAACACGGCCCCACGTGTACCGAAAAAGCTTTGCAAGCACTGCGTTCAATGCATGAGTGAGAAGCAATGTTGGGACTCGGGACAGATATAGAAAGGGCAGTGTAAAAACCCGAACATGTCAAGTATAATACATGTATCATTTGATGGGATCTGGGAATAGATGGGTGTGTAGAAGGAAGCGGGGTCTCCCACGCAGCACCCCATGGGTAGGACGGATCCGCTTCGTCCTGGGAGTCCAGTCGACTATAGAAAGAATGGTCTTGAGGTGACCCATAGCTTCTTGTTCCTAGTAGCGATGCCCTTTGTTACTAGTTGCGACAGTCTCATTTTTGTAGAACAGGCCCTTTACATCCTTTACTAACCATCATCATCCACTGGTAATAGGACAAACCCAATTGGAGCCTCCGGTGTTGGACTATTCAGAACAGACGGTCGCCCTACGAGATGACACATGTTAACGGAACGGCTGCATATATATGCCCTAGCCATCCCTAGCCTTCAAAGACCATCTTACAATTGGTTGACCTGGGGACCACTTTTGGATTTGTGTACAGTCCTTACTAAAACAATGGTTCTTCGGGATTCAGACCCATCAAAGCAACACGTCCCAGCTCGGACTCCGCCACCCCCAGCGTGGGGTCCGGAATCTGGAGGCACCACCACCCGGGAGAGGCACAGGGACCACACCCAAGTGAAGCTCTGCCGAAGCTCCTCTCCCTTGCTCCAAGAAGTTCGAATCGACCTCACAGTTGGTGCCTGGAGCGACCTTCAAACCTGGGTGTCCCAAATGGAGATCCAGACAAGTCTTGGCAGATTTAGCAGGGGTATTCCATTGAAGACCCCTTGAAAAGGTGCTGGCAAACTTCACCCAATGCGGCTGACTGACTTGGCCGCTTCGTGGGCCTGCGCCTGAGGAGAGCACCGTGTACCTCCATGTCCCAGTCTTAGGCTGCACTTGGCAGTCTCCGGGAGGAACAGCTGGAGTGCATCCAAGACGGGCTGGTGGACATCAGTGAAGGCTTCGTTCGTGCTCCTGGACACCTAAAGCTCGGATGATGATTGGACATCGCAAGAGAGGGTTCTATGAACTACCCAACTGGGGTGGTGCTATTGAACGGTCCCGCTCTTGTTCGTTCGTCATGCCCGTTTCCGAAAACCTGGAAGGATTGGATGGCGGGTTGCACAAGGAGTGGGGTTTTCGTAAGCTCATGGACTTCATGATGTCGGAATTTTCTGCATTTGGTCCTTTGGATTTACTTCCATTTTTGTTCCTTCGAATATTTGGACCCCTTAAACTTTGAAGTCCTCCTCAACATGTTGATTTCCTGTACCATTTGTGCCAACCTGCACAAATGCTTCAAAATGCCAGCGACCATTGAAATGTATGTAATGGTTGAAATTATTAAACTATTAACTCGTTCCTTTGTTGCATTTTGGAGGCGTTTTGGGATTTCTAGCTTCCACTCATCCGTATATATATCCATCCAAAGAACCCTGGCTCTGACTAGGACGCCCTGTCTCCAGTCTCTGGGACACAGATTCTCAGGCCTTAACGACCTGTGAGTACGCGAAGAGCTGGAAACGAGCTCGGGGCGCCCAGCGGAGCACGGCGCGTCCCGCACAGCACCCGCGCGCGTTTTCGGTACCGAACGCCCTCGTCGTCCTTGGACGCGGCTTGCGGAGTCGCAAAGATGGCTCTCCCTGGGTGGTGTGGAGATGGGATTGTCGAGTGGATGTGGATGTGGCACCACTTCCTCCATCAAGTGCCCATCTCAATGGAAGGGCTGGTTCTTTGTTGTTGATGAGGTTGAGGTGATAAAAGGATGGCTATGGCAAAAGAGACTCCAGGTCGACATGGAGAATCATCAAATGTAGGCCTTTTAGTTCCAAGAGCCGTGATTGGCTCAGTTTCTGCTGAGTCCCTCGCCCAGTGCGCCCAGTGCACACTCGTGCGACACATCAACGACGCAGGCGTTGCTCTCCGGTGGCTCCTCCGAGCCGTTGCACTTCGCCGTGAGGTGATCTACTTGTTGAAAGACATGAAAGAGAGGAAGATCAAGGTGGAACCTGCCAGGCAGACACCAGTTTTGGCCGTAGCGGCCCGAGAACCGTAGCGTTGTTTGGGTATTATTTGAGAACGTCAGCATCCATCACCACCACCATCATCATCATCATCATCATCAGCAGCATCACCACCACCACCAGCAGCATCATCATCATTATTATCATCATCATTTGTCATGTTCTGTCATCGGTTTTACCACATTGCAATCGTTTTCACAAAATTGTCATCAAACGAGATTGTGATAAACTTGGGTTGGGGTGGGCGGGGTAATCATCGGTTTCACAACATTGTCATTGTTCTCATGTTGTCTTCAAGTGTCATGACTTACGTGAGAAGTTTCCGCGCTGTACATCGAACGTAGGAATGTAGACTTGGCAGCCACGACGGTATGTCGCATTCAGGACTTGAACCGTGCCCGATGAAAAGCGTGAACGTCTTGTTCGGCCCAATTTGGTGGGTTTTTGAAAGGATTTCCTCATCCAGAAAAGGAAGGGGGGTGCTTCATAGAGGACGCCCAGGATATCCACTGCGGGTCTAAGGATGCCAGGAACTCCATCCGGGTGAAGCATCCATCTGCGGGTGGAGCTATGGTCCTTCCACTCACCGACTCACTCGTGCGCGTCAACACCTCGGTCCAGGGGACCTTGAGTCCGAAGGGATTCTTGAGAACACGTCTGTGATTTGTTGAAGTCCAGACCGAAGAACACGACTTTCGACCCACGGATTCCGTGTCGGTGTCCTTCACTCCTTTCGACCCTCCTTCCGGCGCGCGGATCCGCATCCGGATGCGAAACATGGCGCCAGAGGGTTTCAATTGATTAGATGTCGATTCGTGTTGCAGGTCAGCTTCTCTCAGTGTTTCACGATTAAAAAAGGTGGGCCATGTTCCAGCTCAGAGCTGCCCTGTTTCATTTGTTGGATACACCTGTTTCATTTGGCTTCCTGCATTTCCTCACCCGATATACTGGTCACTATGCTTAAATGTTTGATGAAACCACCATGCACTTACGGAAAATTGTAGATCCTGTAGGTGATGTAAGTGTCTAAACTCGTTCCGACGAGCTACTAGCATTACTATAGCAGCTACACAAGAGGTGGCTTACACATGAGAACACTTGAATCTTCAGCGAAACAGACTCCCAGAGACTCAAATCAACCTTGCCATCTACACTGAAATCAGAACGACATGTTAACGACGCCAGGACACCGCCGCTGGTCAAACCCGAGAACATCTGTAAAGCCCTGATGCAGAAGCAGACCAACATAAAGCTTGCATTTGTGGGTGCTGGTGGTTTTTTCCTTCCATCCATTCCGTCTCACTTCTTGCGAAAAGACCGAATGGAGAACCATCGGCGGGTCATCTACGTCGCCCTCGTGCTTCCCACCAGACTCGATGAAACCCGCAGGTTCCGCTCAGCCTTTTGGAATGGCATCTTGACCGCGGAAATGGAGCAAGATGTCGAGGAGGCCCCTGCCTTTGGGGGGTTTCCGGGTTTCAGGGGCCTCTCGTTCTGTTGGATGCACCTATCACGGCGGTGGGTTCCGGAGTGGGACTGCGGTTGGTCGTGCTGGTGGTGAAGATGGGCTCGAAGATGGGCGAAGACGTGTACTCTGAGACGTCGACATGTACAGATTGTAGATTTAGAGGTTATAGCACGTATCATTATCAAGAGATGTCAAGACGCAGCGCTTTTTTTCCTCGAAATCCGGGTCGCGGTTTCAACTGAAGGGAAATTCGCTGATGGAGCAAGTGCTGAATACGCGACACTCGAATGTTGCGAGTTTTTCGGATAGACCATTTCAACCGATGTTGTGTGCCTTCGATATGGAGCGCCGCGAAGTCGCGCTGTTCAGGCCTTCGACCTCTTTCAGCAAATGAAAGAGAACAAACTCTACGTGGAGCGCCGCGGTTGGGCTCGGTCGATCAGCCTTTCTCTCACATCGGACTGCGGAGAAATGTTCACTCACCGCGGGGGTCAATGGCCGCCGGGGGAGCAATGCGTTTTTTTTTCTTCAGGGCTCGAAACGGAAGGAAGAGGATCGATTCTGACGGACTGAAGATCTACTGGTGCCTCGCTTGAAGTCGTATCAACTAGAGGAAAGTGGCATCAAAGTCCTTGGGGCTTGACATGGCTTGACTGATATGAGACATACATAATATATATATATATAATATAGAGACGTACAATATTTTACTTTACGCCCCTGGGATCGCTTAAATTTTGTGTGTCGCGCGTAAAGTTTCGGCTCTATGAATCATGGGAAAGGGCAAATAAAGAGGCCCTGGAGCCGGCGTTTCCAACAGGGGTAAAGGCTCCTCGCAATGGGATACGCGCGTCGTAGATAAAGAGCTTGCACATGTAAGAAATCAACGTCCAGTTAGTAAAGGAAAAGGGAAACCTGGAGGCAAGCCAAAAGGAAAAGGAAAGGGTCTCGAAAATGGAAGCATAAGTACCCTGCGGATGAGAATTCAGATTTTCAAGGTACTGAGGCATGCGACAAAAGAACATCAGCCTCTTCAGACAAAACTGAAGAATACCCTCGTAATTACAGATGAATCTTTCCAACGGCTGACTGTTCCTATTCTGCCTGCCGTCGGAGTCTTGGGTGTCTGGCTCTCTGTTGGAGCTGATGTAGTGAACCGACTTTTATCTTGCTTATATTCAAGCAGCAAGAAGTGGACTTCAGTCAGGTGCAGACCATTCTTGGCAGCTTTGGGCGGTCTGTTTTCAACTCAGGAGGTGATAATTGCTCAAGCTTGAAGCCGCTACTTTCTTCCATCAAGATTACGAACGTGATTTGGTTCCTCGTGAATTTCTCAACGATGTTTTTGAGAGCTGATGGAAAACTGGTTTATGCGCTCAGCGCACCATGCATGTTCAGAATGTCCGGATTTGGCCGGAGGTGATCCTGATTTTGGAGATGACAACCAGACTTTTGGCCTTCTTGAGTTCAACAGAGTCATGCGATGGGCGATTTACCGCTGGACTTTGTACCCGCCAGTGTTGTACTTCATTGCTGCGGGGTGCATCAACAACATGCAGTGGGCAGATGTGATTCATTTGATTGAGTTGTTCTTGAATGGCCATGATCCATGGTTTCCGCTCGCTGTTCGACCCATTGAGAGTGGGTTATGAGACAGCGTTGAGAGCAGATCAACTTTTGGTTCTCCACAACAATGGGTTGGGTGGAGCAACAAATCAATTGACACTGAGTGATTGGCACAACAGAGGGGCATCTGGATGCAACCTCTGCTCTACAGTCCTTTTCACCGAGCAGGCTTACGGGATTTGTACCAGCACCGATGGCTGCTACGTTGCAACAATGGCGTGCAAATCAAGCCATCAAGATCGTTGCTGCAGTTAACCCGCGGTCCGTTACCGCTTCGACATCTTTGTGGCAGAGAACAAGCGACCTGCGCTTTCATACAGGTCATGCAATGCCAAGTTTTCTCATCTTTTTGTGCTTGTTGCATCATGGTTCTGTCTGTGTTTTTGCATTGTCACAGGGTCTTTTGACTCCACCAGTGGTTTTCCCGGTGAAGGTCCAGCCACCGATTCGATGACCCTTTTCTCGGCGAACATCGGTTCAATCCAGACCAAACATGACTGGAGGTCGTGCAATGCACAGATTGCATGCCTCCAGGAAATACAGAGTCGGCAAAAACAATCAGCGCACTGGCCTGCACTCCATCCGGGAGCGGGGTATTCGAGCGCTCTTGGAGGTTTACTTCCGGGCTTTATCCAAACGACCGGTCGATTGCAAACACCTTGCGGCGGGGTTGCAGTTTTTGGGTCCTGCACCTATTCACCAACCCTTTCTTGAGACTGAAGATCAAACTGGTTTATTCAAGCCTCTTCTTCAAACCAAGAGCGTCGCCTTTGCCTGGGTTCAGGTCATGGTTCGCAAAAAGGCCCTCGTTTGCATCGTTTATGCCACTAGCCTCACATGATCAACAGATTCACGCTGAAAATGATTCCCTGCTGGCTGACAGCTTCACGGTCGTTTCCCAGTTCGGGATCATTGCGGTGATTTACAAGCCGTACAAGCCCACCCGCTGTCTTACCCCTCGGTCTCCAAAGGCTATCCACTTTCAAGGTTGTTGATGAAATGGGTGAGCTGTCAAGACCCCTCACGTGTTCCATGTTCCAGAGACTCCACTTTCAGCGGTGAAGGAGAAGGCTGCTCGCCCATTGCAGTTCTTCTCAACCAACCAGCGTTTTTTTGCGCTTGGGTGTGAGGTGGTTGAAACTGTGGGAAGACAACATAGGCCTATTAAGTGCCTCTTTCACTGGAATGCACTCTCCCAAAGAGCTTTGTCAATGTCAAATCTGCGCAACTTGATCTTTCGAACATACCCAACACAAAAAAGCCTCCCAACCAAAGCTCAGGGCAATCCCGATGCCCCGGATCGCATTGGGATTCTGAGTGGGAAGATAAGTACCAGGCTTGCCACGACTCGGACACATGCTCCCTCATTAACCAGTTTTGCATTCAAGAGTTTGCGGTATGCGGACCTTGCGGTGCTGATCCCGTTTTCGTCTCAAAACAAATCTGCCCTACGACATGCAAATCATGGTGCCGCCACTAGGTACAGCTCGGTCCGCCTTTTCAAATTGCAAAGCAGGTTGGATGAGCTCTTAATTCGACGATCCCGCAGCTTTTGATCAGATCAAGACCGCTTTGTCTATTGTCGGACTTTCAGACATGTTCAACAGGGCCTTTGTAATGCTGATGCGCCTTTTCGGTGGTCTCGCCATGATCAAATACCCTTGTCCACATTCAGGCACGTGCGCAGTAGACTTTGTGATGAACCCCCTAATCTGGCACAAGATGATCAAGGGGATGTCTTGTATCAACCTGATAAGGCTTTGTCTTGTCTCAACGAAAAATGGGATTCTGTCTGCGGCCATCCCCTCAAGATGCTTGAAATTGTGTGGCCTTGTATCCAGGACAAAGCGCACCGAGCTTCCCTACCCCCAATTGATGCCAAGGCTTTGTTTTGGGTTAGTTATCCACAGAAGAAAGGCCAATGCCGGACCTGGTCTAGATGGCTGGAGAACACCTGAACTGCCGGCTCTTCCACTCCGAGCTTTTGTTCCCGTGGCAAGATTTTTCCAATGGACCGAAGACGAGTTTGGGGATAACTTGCCTATAAATTGCTCACCTGCACAAAACTGATCATCCTGCACAAGCCGGGCCCGTCGGATGCCATGAAGAAGCGCCTTATCACCATCCTTCCGGCGCTAATTTCTGCTACACAGGAGCCCGCTATGGTCTGCTGCAGGGGTGGCAAAGCCAAACAATGCCCAGTGCCATTGTAGGCGGCATTAAAGGCCGTACCATGCCCATGCTTCACACTGGACATCACTGCACTGCGCCTGGACATTGATGCAGCAAATCTTGACGACCAGGAGCTCGTCGGTGTTAAGCTCGATAAAGCAAGTTTGGCATTTTTTAACAAAAAATGTACCGGGGGCTTCGCCAGCACCTTTGCTACAAAGGGTGGATGAACCCAAAGCCACAACTGCCTGCAATGGCATTGCTCAGGGCTGCTCTTAATCCCTTGTCGCTATCAATGTCCACACTAAGGTTTGGGTCCATTTGTTAGAGAGCTTGCCACAAATCACCATTCGTGCCTATGTCGATGATGCTTACCTCTGGCGCCACCATATCAATGTTGATCTTCTGTCCAAAGCTGTCAGTGTTACCAAACTCTGGGATCAGCTCAATGGTCAAAAGTTGAATGACGCAAAATCCACCATCTGAAATACCAGTTCCTCAGCTCGAAAAGCCATTAAGCATCCCTGAGATGAAAAATTAGAACTCACGTTCGATGTTGGGAATCGCATTTATACTTCCGATTCAGTGAGGCCACGCTTACAAAAGTGTGTAACACTGTTGATTGCGTTTGAGCACTCCCAATCCCAATGAAGACCAAATCTTTTTCTCAGTGGAGCCAAGGCCATCCCTGCGGTACATATGCCACCCACCTTTCGAAAATCCCTAAGCTTTCGATCCAGGAAATTCAAGCAGCCGTTATCCGAGCGCTGTGGAAAGGACGCCCGTGGCCAGATCCAAATGGCTTGCCCAACTCTTCCATAAGATGCCACATTGCACCGCCCCTGTACTTGCGAGTGCCTGTTTGCATCATGGACTTGACACGTTTTTGCTTTGACTTCCCAGAAGCCGTGCCCCGTTGCCACACAGATATAAGCTCAAACTTTCGTTAGTTTAGAGGCTACAAGAGGCTTGTGATGTCATTGGCCTTAGTGTTCACAATAACTTGAGACATTTTTCACTCCTCCCATCCTTTGCAAATTGGGGTTGCAGCACCACACGATGTCATGCAATGTGCTTACGAATCAGCCGCATCCACGACCAGAACGGATTTATCAATGCCAAGAGATGGTCCCTCTCGAGCTATGTGGCAGAGCTGTGGGCGGTTTGGATTGCCCTTTCCACGTACCACAGATATAAATTTTCGGTTCAGAGGCTTGGCCCTTGGTGCTGGTCCGGGCCGCGCGATTGAATCGTGGCGTGTGCCCTTTCCTACCTGCGCCTTCTCTATTTCATTTTGCTGCCTCCCGGTCACTGCGCTGGGGAAATGTCCCCTACACCATGGGGTTTGAGGACAAACGTCGGGTTTTGAAGGTCTACCAGACCAAAAACCTCGGGTTCTTGAACAAAACCTCGGGTTTTCTTGTAAGATCCCTACTTCAAGGTTTTTCAGCGTTCCGTCCGCTTCCGCCACGCCACAGGTGACTAAATGTTGGAAAAATACAGGGTCCTGAAGCATCCTTTGTAACATTTATTTCTGGCGAGCCATGGTTTGAAGCACTTATTTGAAGTTCCAGCGTTAATTGAGGGTATGCACACTTTTCAGATATGAGCGCTTTTTGGTGTTTAAATTCTAAAGCCTACTGGAAATCCTGTATGACCTCTCCTAGTATGTGCAAATGAAACCATGGGTTTGGTTCTAACCTTTTGGGCGTGCTTTACAACAATTTTTCGAAAAAAAGGGTGCCCGCAACTTGGGCGCATATTCCCGCAACCCGGGCGAATATTCCCGCTACCCGGGCGCAATTTTAAGAAGTGGCGGATGGTGTTCTTTTTTGAAATCTTTTATGTTGATGCTGAAGATCAAAGAAAGGAGTTGCTGGCTGCTGCCACACACTCACACTCACACTCACACTCACACTCACACTCACACTCACAC